CAGTTTTTGTAAAAGGACATGCAGATCGCCGCTAGCGAACATACGAAAGCCGATGCAACGCGCAGTTTATGTCGCACCCTTTTGGACTATTGACTAATATCATGGCTTGCCTACTCGTACCTCTGCAGGGACGACGAGGAAGACGACGACGATGACGTTTTCATCATAAGCTTTCCTGCACCGATTGCAGCGGATGTTGCCGGTACGCCAAAAAGAGGGGAGCAGGAAATGTAATGTTGGAAAAAATATTGCGCGGCAGAAGCAGAAGAAGCAAGGGCAGGAGGAGGAGGAGGGGGGGAGAGGAGGAGTCAGCATTTTGGGATGCATGTCCTCTTCCTCCTCTATCATTCTCCTGCCGCTTTCCTTCTTTTCCCGCCCTTTTCGTTTAATTACTCCTCTTCTCTTCCCTATCCATCCTCATTTTTCCCTTCTCCTCTCTTCCTTTTGTCGCCACCCTTCTCATTCTTCCAAGATGCAGACGAGGAGAAGAGAGAGCGGGAAGAGGGGGAGAAGAAGAACGAGGAGGCGGGAGGACAGGGGATGGAGGAGAACGAGCCTCAACATAAGGAGAAGCGAGATCAGGGGGACGGCCAACGGGAGATAGATCAGGATCAGATGCTTGTGCAGCAGCAACACCACCACCAGCTTGAGCAAAAGAGGCTACCAAAGGAGGACAAACATGAGAAAGAGGCGGAAGATGCGGAAGGTGCGGAAGAAGAAATAGAGGAAGAAGAGGAGAAAGAGGAGAAAGAGGAGAAAGAGGAGAAAGAGGTGGAAGAGGTGGAAGAGGTGGAAGAGGAAGAAGGAGAGGAACAGGAGATAGAGGGGCATGAGGAGGAGGAGGAGGAGGAGGGGCATGAGGAGGAGGAGGAGAAAGAGGAGGAAAGAAAGGAAGAGGAGGAAGAAGAGGAACAGAAGAAACAGGAAATAGAGAAGGAACAGGAAATAGAAGGGCATGAGGAGGAAGAGGATGAAGAGGAAGTAGAGGAGGAAGAAGAGGGAGAGGAGGAAGAGGAGGAGGCAGAGGAGGAAGAGGAGGAAGCAGAGGAGGGAGAGGAGGAAGAGGAGGAACAGAAGAAACAGGAAAAAGAGGAGGAACAGGATGTAGAGGGGCATGATGAGGAAGAGAACTTAACGGAGAGAAAGCAGAAAGAAGAGGAAGAGGAAGAAAAGGAGGAGGATGCAATAGAAAAAGAGGAGGAGAACGAGGAAGAGGAAAAGGAGGAGGAAGAGGAGAAAGAGGCTGAGGAGGGTAAAGAGGAGGAACTGGAGAAAGAGGAGAGAGAGGAGAAAAAGGATGACGAGGGGGAAGAGGAGGAAGAGGAGAGAGAGGAGGACGAGGATAAAGAGGACAAAGAGGGGAAAAAGGATGAAGAAAAGGAGGAGGAGGGAGAAAAGGCAGGAGAGGAAGAGGAAATAGAGGAGGAAGAGGAGGAAGAGGAGGAAGAGGAGGAGGAAAGATTAGAGCTCGCGGGCGAGGTGGAGAACGAGGAGTCCTCTTTTTCCGCTTACTCCCGCTGCTCCCGCTTTTTCGAGCTCTCATCGTCCTCCTCATCCTGCCTCTCTTCCCCCTCTGCGGGCTCCGTCGCCTCTTCTTTCTCGTTCCCACGGGAACCCGAAGGAGGGGAAGAAAAAAAGTGGGACGAGGAGGAAGAGGAGGAGCACGAGGATGCTCTGCCGGCGGGACGTGAAGAGTGGACACAGGAGGGCAGGCGCCTAGGCCGCGCTCTCCTGGACTTTCTCAAGCAGCCCTCGCCCGCTCCACGTCCGGTCGGTGAAGAGGACGGAGGGGACAGGAGGGGGGAAAAGGCAAAGGAGGGCAGGGGGGTGGACGACGGATCGTTGTCGTCCTCAGAGGCGACCGCCGTGCTGACGGTGTCCGCTTCTCCCTCTTCCTCCTCGTCGGCAGACACGCCTCTGTCCGAGCCGTTAATACCAGGAGAAGAAAAGCAAGAGGAAGCGGGGAGGGAGGACAAGGGGGCGGGCGGTGTCCGATGGGAGACCCGCTCCCTCCCCGAGATCGAAGAGCAGGCCCGGTCTAGATGGGCCGCCGTCGCTCTCGCCCTGGAAGAGGGATCCATGCTACTGGAGGACGGCAGCAGGGTTCCTGTCATCCGCTTGCCCCTTGGCGAGGATAGTCCCTCGACTTCCTGTCCTTCTCCTCCCATTGCGTGTCGGTCGGCTCAGCCAGTGGCGCGAGAGAGTGCGAAAGGGTTCCCAACGACGTCTCCGACTGAGGAGGAGGGAAGGGAGGGAAGTTGGGTGGAGAGGGTGCAGAGGGGCAGACACGGTGGTACCTCCTTCGGTCGAGATAGGCAGGACGGATGCAGAGGAGGGAGGGGGGGAAGAAAACGAGGAGGGCGAGGATGGAAAGGAGGACGATGGAAGGAAGAGGGGAAAGGGCAGTCAGAAGAGGGAAAAGGAAGAGACAGACAGGGCAATGGAACCCAGAGCATTGCGTGTCGGGCGTAGTAAGGTCTCGACGTGATGGTCGGTGAAAGGGGTGAGGGACGGCATGGTGCGACAAGGGCGAGGAGGAGCAAGCGGTGGTTATGTGACCTTCTGCATACTGCCGCGCTACGGCCACAAGAATGTGGGCGCAGGAATACATATCATGGGTCTGCTCGTATACGACCGGCTGGTTGGAAGACACACACAGGTGTGATGACTTTCTGGGGGAACTTATTGATACGATGAGAAGGTCTTGCCAGCCGAGGCCACAGAAGTATCAAGGGGAGCAGATTTCCTATGGGGGTTACACATGCATGTTAGGCTAACACAAAGCAATAAAGGAGCAAAGGGAGAGTAACAAAAGCAGAACACGACGAATGGAGAGGGGAGGTATATTTGTGTATCAGTGCTTAGGGAGGACCGTATAAAACGCATTCGTTGCGGTGACCGCCCATCACTTATGATGATGACAAAATGAATGTTGCATGCTTTTCCAATATGATTAGCCTAAGACTGTGCGCTGTTCTCTGTCGACGCACATCATATGCATTCGCTGCCCTCAATTATTTTTAGAAAATTGAATATTCAATGGCGAAGCACGATCGAGAGTTGGAGGGCAAGCGACTTTGTGGAATAGAGATGTTCTCCTCTCGCATAGCATCGTCACATATATTTCATCAACTTTTCTTTTGATGAAAATGGGAAATAAATGAGCTGACATTTGCGACATAGGGCAGCGATTTCCTCCACTGTTACAACGTTGAGTACGCAGCACGTCTATACAAAGTTTCATACACGTCTTTGCCTACATGTGCATCGCATTATCTCAAAATATAGGAAGGGGGGGGTACTTTTCTTGCCGTCGCCTGGCAGCCCTAGTCAGAGCTTGAGCAGCTTGCACCGTTTGCAAGTAGTTGACAAAAACCACGGCCGCCTTCAGAAGAACTTTCCTCCACCAAGACGCTCGGAGGAGCCTGTTTTTCCCGCCCTGAACCTCCTCCTCGCCGGGAAAGAGCACCTCTACCTCCATCCTTCGGTCCGCCACCTCCACGTCCATCTCATCCCGGAGCCTTTCCATGGCCCCTTCCCAACTCCAGGCTCCGCCCTCGCCTTTCCCGCCGTTTTTCTTCTCCTCTTTCATTCTAAATGTAGAGGGTACAGCCGTAACGGCCGCTTTATGAAATGCGGTCGCCACGTCATTCGTCAGAAACTTGGCTTCCCGATCCAAAGCGCGTAATGGCAAGAAAAGACCGACGAATCGGTCCTGAAACTTCCCGAAATAGAAGTCCTCCAACGCGTCCAGGTGCTGGCGATAGGAAGGGGCCAAGCGTCTGGTCAAGCGCTTCAGAAGGTCCGCCTGAGGAGAGGACTCGGGAATGCTGTGGGAGGAGGTCGACGGAGGGAGGCGGGCCTCGAGTGACTGCAATGCAGCACGGACTATGGCGTCAGCGTCCCGACCGTATTCCAAGATGGGCATCTCGCTCGCCGCTGCCTCCACCTTCCGCTCCAAACGCTCGACCCCTTGCTCGGCTTCTTCCATGCAACTGTCCAAAATCTTGCGGAGAACGAAGGCCTGAACCTCCTCCTCCTTCCGGAAGGAGAAGGATGGGAGGGAGGTCAGGTCGCCCGTAGCGCCTCCTGCGCTCTCCTGGATGATCGATTCCCAGAGCTCTGCGACAAATGTAGGGAATTGCCGCAACGGCACCGGCTGGAACTGGCGCCCGTGCTCGGAAAGGGAGGAGGAAAAAAAGGAGGACATGGTCTTCCTTCCCCCCTTACCTTGTCTCTCCCCCTTCTGGGCTCTCACCGCCATCCCAGTCACTTCATTCCCCGCCGGTGACCCTGTCGGGTCTTGCAGGATCTGTCGGAGCTCCTCAACGGCTTTTTGAAATTCCAACGGCTGGAACGCTTTGGAGGGCATGGCCACGACGCGCACGTCCACACGAGACTCCGCAATCCCCTGTAGCCCGGCTCTGCCTCCCGGTGAAGAAGGCGGTGGGTCCTGACCAAGGGCCCCGTATGCCTCGTCCAGGTGGCGTTGGATGATCGTTTGCGCCCCGAGCACGTCTCCCTCCAAGCACTCCGAATCCCGCAAGACGACCACTAGGACTGGGCGCCGCCCTGACAGGCTTTTTAAGCCTCCTTTCTTCGTGTCAAGCCGCCTCTTCTGGGCCTTCCCCTCCATCCCTTCCTCCGTCCCTCGCTGTACCAGGCTTCGCCTCACCAAGGTCTCCAACAAGCCTGCGCGCAAGTCGCTCCCCCATCGACCCCCCCTCATGTCTCGCGCCCAGGCATTTAACAAGATCACATCCGCGGTTGTGACGGCCAGCGTGGAGAGCTGCCTATCGAACAGGTGGCTCCCAGGGCCCCGGGAGACGCTCTCCAGACCCTCCGTATCCATCACCACCACCGGGATTCGTCCCCTCCCCACGCGCGCTCGTCCGACGCCTCCCTCCTCCTCTTCTTCCGCCCCAGTCCTGTTCCTACTGTCCATCCCCCGAGCCCCATCACTGACGCCCATGTCTACCCAGACACCCTGCGTGGTCCGGCGCCCGACTCCCACGTTCCCTACCTCCAGGACTGGGAAACGGGTTCCGTACAAGGCGTTCAAAAGCGTGGATTTACCGCTTGCTTGAGGACCCACGATGGCTACGACAGTGTATTGCAAATTTCTGTACCTGCCATTCTCTTTTTCGGCCGGCCGTGGCGTTTGAGACGCTCTTCCTGCCTCTCGATCATGCATAGCCTGCCGGCCTTCAGATGTCTCGTCCTCCTTCTCCCATTCCTCCTCCACCCCAACCTCGTGTCTTGCCACTTCTTGGAAGCGCGCCCCAATGGTGAAGAAATCTGTGCCTGCGACAAGACCAAAGGGACTTCTTTTCGGTCGGGTTGAAGGGGTCCCAAGGTCTTGCCTTCTGACATCCGTGCTCCCGCCTTTGATAGTGGCCAAAGGTCTGACATTTCTATACTCTGTGAGCCCAATCCCCATCCCTCCATGCATTCTATTCAATCCCCCGGCGATGGCATAATCCGGGAACAAAGCGACGCATTGGACGAGGAGTGCTTGAAAAATGCGCATCGGCTTCAGCCGGGGGCTGCGTGAAGGGGAGCTGCTGCCATGCTGTCGTCGTGGGCTGTTAGAATGGTGGACAAGCTGCCAAGTCCACGCCATGCTCCACCCCCTGGATGTTTATGCACGTGAATAGAGACGTGGGAAGGTATGTAAGTAGGAGGAGAGGAATTGAAGCGAACATGTTCTCGTACGGCCCCGCTGGCGGCGAGCACTGCTACCGGGCAGTAGCCGCTTCTCGCTCTGTGGGGCTGGGAAAAAGCGTGGTACTCGAGCACAATCCCTTGATCTGATACCTTGGAAGCGGGCCTGGTATGATTCTTCTGCATCCACCGCAAAGTATCACTCAACCCTTGGTGGACGAAGATAGTAATGCTCCGTATTCCTTGGATTTTTTCATGTCCATGTACGTGAACAGGCCGCAGGACAGGGGGCCGGGCCTGGCTACGAACACGAGCAGACGACCTCCGACTATGAGTGAAAACTCTTCGCTTTCAAGACCGCGGCCATCGCGACGACGGATAACGCTAGGCACCGTTGGTTTGCTGTTGGGCGGTTTATTTTCACCTTGGAAGGAAGCAGAGGCAGAGTCAAGACGGGGAGGAAGCCGAGTGTGGTTTGGGTGGGGGGGAGGCTATCCCAAATAGGGCGGCAGGACTTGTCAAAACTTCAAGTCGCTCCACTCCAACTCGGAGGGAAGAGTTGTGTAATCGCGTGCATTTCAAGACAGGAGGGTAGATATGGCCGACGGATGGCCGGCGACGGGGATTTTAAGGAGCGGAGGCGGGGTGAACCAGCAGACAAGCTTCGACGAAGAGGACCATGCGCAGCCCCGACAGCAGATGTTGGATGGACAAGTCACCACGAGAGCTGTAAACGTAGGGCCTCGATCACGGGAACAGCAATGGACTGCCTATGCACACGTCGGGGAGGAGGTGCTCCGGGGGGGAATGCCTATCACGCCCGTGGGATGGAAGAGGGGGCAGGGGGAGGAGGCGGAAGCGGGAGGGAAGAGAGAAAGGAGGGAAAGGAGATGAAGAGAGACGAGGGGGGAGAAGGAACGAACGCGTCCATGCTCTCGAAACGGGTGAAATTCCTGGTGAAGACGGAATCGGGCTTGAAGGATATGGATCAAAAATTGGAGGTAGAAGCCGTGGGCTCCATGTCAGTGGCGGCCTTGAAGCTCATGGTGCAGGAAAATATGGCGGGCAAGCCTCCCGCGCGCCTGCAACGACTCTACTACGCAGGCCGGCGATTGAAGGATGGGGAGTTGTTGGGAAAGGTCCTGCAGGACGAGGAAGGAGGGGAGGAGGGAGGGGAAGGCGGGGGGAGAAGACGACCGTCTCTGTCGCTCCCCATCATCTTGGACATGCCCCCCCCTCTACCTCAGTTGGACTACGAAGGCTTGCTCTCTCTGAAGGTGCGTTATGAATCTTTGGATTTCAAACAGCCCTTGTTTTACGCCGCCAATGCGGTGGGGTTACGGTACGCGATCCAGGCGTTGGACGAGCACCTCCTCAGGGGCCGACCCGGGGGA